CCCCCCCCCATTGACCATCAAGATGGGGCTGTCTCCCTTTATAGCTGTAACAGCCCCACCCTTTTCTGGCAAGGGTTCTACAAGACTTAGGCTATATGTGGGAATGTTTGCACATTTGTGAGGTGCTGATGTTAGATGAGTTTGTTCAGGTCATTTTTGTATCCAGCAGTGATAGGACAGAATCACCATACATGGTGGAAATAGCAGCCACAACAGGTCTAAAAGGTGTTGGAAAGTTTTTTCTTAACAGAAAAAACTAAAGCCCCAAAATTTGGCAAATTGGCCGGTGGCAAAACAGTTTAATAGTGAAGTCTGTGAGCTTCTTTTATCTCAGTAGAAGGCTTTACCGCATCGTCCTAAAAGTCTACGGAAATGTCAAAAGAGAGTACGCCAAAACAATCCAAAACCACAGCCCCTGTCAGGGTACATCAGTCAGCAACCATAGTGCAGCTTCTGCCCGGATCGCTGCACGCTATGTGCGTAATCGGCGCCATGCCACTAGTAATGCGCATGCACGAAATCGTACACGTACGCGCGCAACAACGTGCACACGCATGTCCTTGGCGCCAGACGGGCTATTTAAAGAGAGATCTTCAGCTGTACTCTGCATCTGTGTTTCTGCTCCTGATACCTGTCTGACCCGGCTTGATTCTTGACCCTGCCTGCTTGCTGCCTGCCTTGTGACCTCGGCTCGTCCCTGACCGATCCGGCACCATTCTGCTCGCTAGTGTATGACCCGGCCTGTTCCTGACGCTGCTTCTGTCACCTGCTTATCTACCACTCTGACCTAGGGTTGCCACCTGTCCAGGATTCACCCGGACAGTGCTGTGTCCAGGTTTCATCGCAGAAGAAACCCGGACACAGAATGTCAGGCAGACAAGGGCAACCAAAGTTAAGATAAGGGCTACGTGCCCCCCACTGAAAATAGTCTTAACTGTGATATTTACATATGAATGGGCGGAGCTATTTACATATGAATAAGCCGCGACTCATTCTCCCAAAAAAATGTCTGCTCGTCGTTTGAGTGTTCGGGTTTCGCTTGAAGAAAAGGTGGCAACCCTACGCTGACCGTATGTTGCCGATCTGGCTTGTTCCTGACTACGCTTCAGCTTCTCACACAAGTATCGTCGTCTGGTCTGCCATCGACCACCAGCTGCCTCTGGCGTCCTGTTGTCAGCATCAGCCTATCCAGTGTGTCCAGCAGTCATACCAGCCACAGGCACTCGTGCCACTCTCTGTCTGTACAACTACTGTTCCCTCTCCAGTGGGGCTCAGACGAGAGCAGCAAGGGAAGACCTTCCTCGTCACTTTGGGCTCACACCAAGGTACGTGACAGCCCCACATTCCCGGAACCCCCTTCCCCCAGCCTGCTATCCCCAGCTATACCCAGAATATTCCAAATATAGACTTCAGATATGTGTTTGGTAGGAATGGCCTTGGGAGGAGCGGAGAGGACAGTTTGGGTGATGATATTTGGAGACCAGCATGGTGATGTAGCTCAGGGCAGAGTTGTGAACAGCTTTGCATGTTGGCGTTAGTATTTAGAAATGTGTTCATTGGTGACCGGAACCCAGTGACGGGATAGGCAGAGAGGGACGGCGGACAATAGGCGCTTGGTTGGGTGGATGGGTCTGGCAGCAGCATTTATGATAGACCAAAGGGAGGACAGCCTGTAGAGAGGTCAGCCAGTGAGGAGAGATTTGCATTAGTCAAGGCGAGAGATAACAATGGAATGAATTAGTATCTTGGTGACGTCATTGGTCAAGGAGGGGCGTAGTGTGGAAATGTTACAGAGGTGAAGGTGGCAACATTTGGGCAGTTATTTGAAGTGGGGCAAGGTGCAGAGGTCAGAGTCCAGGATTACCCCTACCACCCCGGCATGAGGAGGGCCACTGCTAGTGGTGCTATCAATCTTGAACTAAACGTTGGGGGAGGAGATATGGTGGGGAGGAATATTATGAGTTGAGTTTTAGGAAGCGGTGTGACATTCAGCTCGGTAGGTCAGTTCATAAACTAGTAAAGGGAAAGGAGACTGAAGGGCTGGGAATCAAATGAACAAGGGAGAAGGTAAAGATAGAGAT